ATCTGATCTAGTTTGATCTGATTTGATTTGATCTAAATCGCTTTGGTATATTTTACAACTGTTCAAGTTTGATCTAGGCTAACTTAATGTTTTTAACTCAAGTAAAAACATTATACGACACTACGTGTGTTTTAACGTTTTTACTTCAACGTAATTTTCTTGTTTGATACTCCGTATTCCTCCGTACTACCTCTGTCCCATTTATGTTGGGACGGAAGAGGGTGACACGCTTATTAAGAAAAGTGAGTTTGTGTGGTTGATATTAAGGATGCTTTCTTTTGGACTGTTTTCAGTTCCAGACAGACCAGATTTAAACAGACCAGACCAGACCAGACCTGGATAGTTATAAAATACACAGAGACCAGACGTTTACCAGAACAGACCAGACCAGTTCAGACCAAACCAGACCAGACTAGACTTAAACAGACCAGCCCAGACCAGACCAGCAAATTTCAGTCCAAAAGAAAACATCCTAATTGATAAAATTAGAGTAAAGTAAGAATGATTTAGAGTCACACAAACTTTAAAACGGGATAATTTAAGTGAGACTTCCCGAAGAGGTAAAACGGGACCATATAAATGAGACCAAATATTTGATAACTTGATTGGGTAGCAGGATAGCTGGATTGCCTGGATAAGGGAAAACATTGGGGTTTGGGCTTCGCTGATCTTCTCTACCAGTCTACCGTACACAGCAAGGCAAGAAAGCAGACGTTTTCTGACTACTAGGAAGCGTATATGAGGATTAAGAATGAGAAGAAACCATCTTCCTCGGCAACTTCACCGTGCGCCAGTCTCAGAGAAGCTTACCACAATTGCTTCAACAGGTCGGTGCTTCCATCTCGATCTGTGGCTCCTATTTCGCAAGTAGATACACAAAAAAGAGACCTTTTACTTTTAATTTGCTAGGTTCATCGATATTCAACTAGTCATTTCATGGTTCATCGAAAACATTTAAGATATCAATCCTGCTTTTTTCATAAACCCTAAACCCTGAAGTTGGGCGGGAGTTGATGGTTGGCATTATTTCCTATAGGTGGTATTCTGACAAGTTCTTGAAGGGTCAGTGGGATAAAGAGGAGTGTGTTTCAGAGTGGCAGAAATATAGAGACTGTCTCTCTGTAAGCTATTTTCCCTTCAAAGCTTCAATCACCAGCTTAGGACTGAAGTATGAGCAATTTCTATTATTTTATTATATTCAGTGAAGTATGTGGTTGCTGATTAATTTCAGCAACATTTGGATGACAAAATTTTGAGTCGATTCTTGGAAGCCGAAGGAACTTTTAATCTGGGCGATCAAACTGAGTTTAATAGCACCGAGGCAGATCATAGATGATTGCAAGAGGATAACTTTTGGAAACATTGCAAGAAAGGTGAATCTCTAAATAGATTGGCTTATTTCTTTTGTAGCATACATTTGGATGTGATAAACTTGGGGCGGACAGATCTAAGTTGCATGTGGTAAAAATGTTTGGTGTGAGAATCATTCCAAGTTCCAAAATATAGCTGGAGGAAATTTGTTCTTGAAGGAACTTTTCAGTTTTGTATATATCACTTACAAATTTGGTTGTGATAACTGATAAGTATTAAAGTACTTCTATTGTAAACATACTCTGCAATCTGCATTTAATGATGCATAGTCTATATGCAGTGAAACATTTTTAATACCATTACGTTTGGGTTTTCTTTATGTATAGTGTGATTTTGAGACAGGGCGCGGGTCTGATGGGATTGGGATTCTATACCTGACACCATACAACTGTTTAGAAGTTGAAATACTAGGGCATTTTTTTTACTGCCCTTAAAATATGCTTGTTCAATCATCTTCAAGCAAAGAAAAAGGAACTAATAAACATCTTGGGCATTCTATTTGTCCCCAACAATTTCCGTTGCTATACTAATCCTTTCATCTCTTCTCCATATTTTATTTTCAATGTCATCACACATGTATATTCATATTTGGACATTTGGTTGCCCCTCTTTAGTTTTAATCATGTATGCATTCCTTAATTTTAAAAATATCATCATGAAATCATAATGAAGCCATTGTTCTGTCATAATCAGATTTCCCTTTGTTAGGGCATCTCCAATGAAGGGGTCAATTGGGGTTCCCACTCAGCCAGTGCACTTTGTTTTACAAAATCTACTCTCCAATGCTAATGTAAATGGACTTCTAAAATATGCTGTGGCAATATATAAGGCCCAGCACTGGGTCTACTTCCAGACCCTCGGTGCCACTTCTCACAGCAAAAAAATCCTTTTGCTTTAAAATTCCTTTTGCAAAAAGAAAATTCCTTTTGCCAATTGTGGTTTGAAGAAGACAAATCAGGAGAAGAAAGAAATGGCGTCGAACGCGGTGGTACCCTTCAGGAGAGCAGCCAGAATGACTTACATAACTTACTCCAATCTGTGCGCCAACATGGTGAGGAACTTCTTTAAGGAACCCTACAGATTCGAAGCCCTAACGGCCTGTTTGGATTGAGTGTTAGTAAAGTAAGTGTTGAGAAGGGTTGAAATTAACACTTGTTTGGGAGAGATTTTTTTTTAAAAGGGAAGTGTTGGTAACGGTTATAAAGTGTTAATCATTACCTCCTCAACACCTCAATTGCCCACTTTTTTAACACTCCAATTTGGAGTGTTTTGAAGTGTTGACCATTATTACCCTTCTCCATTACATATCCGCCCACTTCAAATGATCGACTCTGTTGATCTGCTCGAAGGTTCTCAAGCCTGCTATAAAACAATATCATGTCAACTCATTTCCTCATCCAATTGTTCTAAGTTCTCTCATATCCGTTCTGCTATATACGTTCCCAATGGTCATCTGAGAACGTATTTTCATACATCATATAAAAACTCATATCTCATCATGTATATACATTTTATCCGTCTTATACATCATATAAAAACTCATAACTGTATTAGTTGCCTACTTCTGGGAACAAAGGGAAAACAACGTGCAATATATAGATATATGTACATATATAGAGATATATACGAAGTATATAATTTGCTTTTGGAAAAAAAATAGCCACATAATTGGAATTAAAGTTTCGTTAATCAATTAGCTTTAATTAGGAAAAAAAATTAACTTTACATAGGATTCTTAAGTTGCCGAAATTAGTTGTCAAATTAACTTAATACTATCGGGCTGGGTATAAACTAACAATTTAAAATGTGTAAGGATATTTTTGTAATTTGAAGTGAAAACACTTCCTTTACCCACACTCGATTTTGTAGCTCTTCCAAACAAGGTTAATTTATACTTAACACTTACACTTACCATCCCTTCCGGGCTCTTGCCAACACTTATTAACACTTTCATTACTAACACCCTTCAACACTCCATCCAAACAGGCCCTAAGCCGTGAGAAGGTCCATTTCTCCATCTCCAAATGGGCAGATGGAAAGCCCCAGAAGCCCACCATTCATTCAGATACACCTGAATGAGGCTGATCACATCACTTATGGCTGTGTTTGGGATCGTTTGCACTGCCATGTAACCCTTCACCATGTTTGGAGCACCTTTTATATAAATAGAAGGCTGCAGAAACGGTAGAACTTCAAATTCAGTCAACATGTTGCATATCTGCAATTTCTCCTCACTCGGATTTGTTGACAGATACTGTTCTTTTGATGTTAATTAATGGTATTGTCATTTCAACAACAAAAAATGTAGCTTTCTTTTTCTTTTTCATCAATTATTCTTTTTCTATTTATTTCCCACTTCCGCATTGGAGTGTCTACCAAATAAATTCTTCTGCTGATATTCTGTCTAGACCTTCTCCATTTCTTTGCCACATAAGCAACAGTGCATGATGAGCATTGGAGATGCTCTTAGTGTGCGACTTTTTTTTGGATCTTCACTTTGACAGAAAACTTATTGACTGATAGTGGCTATATCATAGCACGTTGGAGTTTTGGAATTGTGCTGCTTAAGCCATAGACTTGCTACCACAAGAAAACAAATTATTTTATGAATGAAATATTAAGGCAGACTGGTTATAATTTATTTTTTACTTTCTTTCCAGGTTGGCTGGCAGCCAGCATGCACTCCATCCAGTTCTCATCAGCTTCTGGACTGTACATATTCATTTGAGCATTTCGGAGTTTAATATGTTCAAATGCTTCTGCTGTTGCATCTATCAACAGCTCGCTATAGCCTATAGGCCCTAATCAGGGAGTACAGTTATCATGTATGACACTCTAAGCACGAAGACTGCAGCTTTTACAAAAAGAAATAAAAGCATTCGTTTCTTTATTTGTACTAACGTCATAATCTTCTAGAATACATTCAATGAATATGGATGGAAAATATTGTGGGGATGATTGATCTTATTTTGTTTGCTTTCCTTTTTCTCTATTTATTGGTTGAACTCCAATATTATATGTTATTCATGTTAACCGACCCCAAATTCTTGTGAGAATAAGGCTTGAGTATTGTTGTTGTATCGAATGAAGGTGTAAATAAGTAAGATACAATACTATACTATGTCAAACGTCTTAGACTCCCTCCATTCCTTTCTTATCCCCGCTTTTGATTTGACGCAACTTTAAAGAAATAGAGATTTTGTAGTTTGAATTTGTGAAAAAGAGTGAGAAAAAACATTAACCAGATGATCCTGTATTTAAAAGTAAAGAGAAGATGGTTTATGGATGGATGAAAAAAGGAAAGCAAAAGAACAGGGGGAGCACTTTTATCGTTTTTGTTTTTACCTTTGAGTAGGGTAGTTCAATTAGTTTTTTCTAGTGGCACAACTTTGCACTTGTTGTGGAAGCATGATTACAGGGGAAGCATGATATCACTAGCCAAGTGATACCATTAGTAGGCCTTATGGTATTCTGAAACATGATAGTATGAAAGTATGAAACCATACTGTAGTACTGTACCTCAAAGCTTGTTTTTACTGGAACAAGATAAAATTCACAATAAATCAATAATTTATCTGGATTATCTGTATGAGCAGTTAGTGGGAAAATATGTTAGGGGTGTGGATGGGAGATGAAGCACCTCTATTTATACTAGTCCGAAAAGTCTTGGCAGCCCATTATTAGAGTAACCCTTAACATATTACAATATTTCTATTAGGAATGGTAACAAAATTATAATTCTCATACATATAGGAAACTAATAATAATAAAATAATAATACTAATATTAATTACAATAAACCAATATCATTATCTGTAAAAAAATTAATAAACAATAAACCAATATAATAATAATGACGACAACAACAACAATCGCATAGGCACCACACCAGAAGAGTAACACCCAATAAAGTAAAGTGGCAGTCTGGCAGATATCCAGGAGGATTGTTAGAGTGCTGTAGGTCTCTTTCTGACGGCATGGAAATCAACTGTCAATTATTTTTGGACGCCTTCATTGAACTTCCATGATTGTTTAGCCCAAACTTGTACGTAGTATGATTTTCTATGTTCTGATATTTCTTGAATCAATGTTGATGACTGGAAGGTCTTAGTGTCCAATACAAATCTCATCAACTAATAGCAGTCATCTATATCAACTGACTTTAGTAGTAAAGAACTTTTGGTTAGGTACTATATGCTATAGGTTGTTTCTGGTTTGACCTTACTGACTAGTGATCATTTTCTCTCCGAATAATGCCGAGTTCCCATCCAGTTTCATTACAACAATGCCAAAAACTGCGGAAAGTTTTATTTAGAGGGAAAAGAATGGCAATTTTTAATGTGATTTTTATCACTGTGGATGGGAACGTGGCATCAGCGAGTTTCTCCGTGGTTGTGATGAAGACGGGTGACCTTCATGGTTATGGGTACCCTCGTAGGTTGTTATGACATAACGTTTATCTTCTTTCGCCCTTTCAATTCTCTTCTTCACATGACATCCAATTGCAGAGCACTTGTAGTAATTCCTGTTTTAAAAACAACATAATCACATCTGATGTCTGGACAATAATATTCCCCCCTGGGTAATATTATATCATTAAAAATGGACGTACCATTTGGTCCTTTCCTGTAATAAAGAATCTTTTAGTTTATCCAGCATTTTCAAATGGAGTTGATCAGTTCATGTATAACTTAGGAGGTGACTTTGCACATGATTTACCAAAAAAATCATTTTCAATAGAAATATCCGTTTACTTTTTTACTTTTACAGCCCATCTATCATGTTGATCGCTTCACTCCTAGCCAACATATACAATGCACTTCCAATACCTAGATGCCTAGAAAATGCAGACAAAGGTTGAAAAAAAGGCATAAGAAAAGGTAGCTAGTTATATCAGGTCTTGTGTTTTGGGACTCCGGGGAAAAACGGAAAAATGTTTTTTTTTTTTTAAATTGACAGAGGTAGAAATTATTTCTGTATTGCTCTTTATATTTAGTGTTGATAGTATATTATGTTGAGCTCTACTGAAAGAGAGGTATGACTGAAAGACAGTTTCGATCAGGTTACACAGTTTTGTTGATTTAAAAAACATACTAGTCCCACATTTGCTATCATAAATCATTGTACCTTGGATTGGGACTGCTCCTCACCATCTTCTTGCCATATTTCCTCCACTTGTAGCCATCATCAAGTACTTCAACATCTGACTTTGTTTTGAATACAAACTTTTCTATGCCTCCCATGTTGTTTCCACCATCTAAAACCAAGATGCAGAGAGAGAAAAAGTTGGATGAACATAAAGAGTTTCTCCTATAATATGAATATGAGGACACAATTTTTTGTAAGACCTTGGACTACTCTTATGGATTTTCATGACGCAATCATAAGTTTTAATATCAAAGCCTCTTAATTTCATTGGTCCCCCATCCCGTTAACCTCACACTCATAGATTGGTACATTCGAACGAGTCACCATTTTATATTACGAGCGAGTCCCAACATTTTACATGGACATGCAGTTAAGTCCGAACTTTGGCTACTCCTATCAGGTTGAACTTCTACTCGAGAGTGGTGGATGAGTTCATCTTTCTTACCATTCCTAGGCCCGTCCTGGGAGGTGCTAACTCCCCCCTCAGAAGGAGAACCCTCGTTCATCGCTTGAAGGAGACTCGGGTGAGGATGGTCGGTGATCATCTGAGAGAGGGGCTCTACCTCACACCAGTCATCTAACTCGAGGAAATCGGAGCACTCAAACGTATCCATGGCGGACTCCATTGATGATGAGAAGCTCCAGTAAGGCGAGGTCTCGTTCGGGTGATTCCCAGCCATGGGATTCCTGTGGCTCACTTGTGCCAAATGTACACATATATGCTGGCTGCTTGGAGTCCCCCCATGATGGGTCTTTCGTTGTAAACTTCCTGGGAAGATGGAGGAAACTTCTCAGGGAGACTGATGTTTAGCCGCCGGAAGGACGGAGAAGACTTTCATGCTTGACTGGTTTGTGTAACAATGGATTTCACAGAATGTGGTGGGACATTGTTAGGAAGACTTGTGCGCAGACTTCATTAGTCTCTGGTTCCGTGTTTGAATGCTCTTCTACCTTTTGTTTAGCTGGGTAATTATAGAACTACGGCCTAGTTACAGTCGAGAATTTTTAGCTTCTTGAGAATCTACAGTTACAATCAGGATTTTTTCATCTCAACTGGTAATCTAGTTATGAACTATAGGTCTATAGATCCCTACTTATTATCCATCAACCATCATCCTTACGCTTCCAAGGTTTTTGCTTTAAGAAAAACTAGTATAGTACCCGTGCATACGCACGGGAAGAAACAGTCGATGCATATATTTTTATTCATGATTTAATTAAATATTAAAATTAAAAAAAAAAACATTTTAGATTTCTACATTTTCGATGAAGAGTATATTAGGGAAAATTACCAGACACCACTCATTAGAATTTGCTTCTTATTAATTTTCATGATTACAATAAATATTAAAATTAATACTATTCTAAAAAAGTGATCACAATAAGTTAGTGACATGAAGCGAATACAATAAATATTAAAATTAATGATATTACTTAAATAAAGATTTGCTACTCATTGGTTAAAATTAGTGCTAATATATGAAAGAAAAAATTATCTTGCTAAATTGTTAAATGGTTTATCTTATACGTAAAAGAACTAAGTATGCATATGAGACATAATTCGCCCACTCAATTGTTAGCCAACTGGCTTATTTTATATGTTGTACTTAAAAACACTACATATATGAGAAAATCCTCCGCTCAATTGTAAGTAAGTTTATCTTCTAATACCTAAAAGCACAACATATGAGAAAGAAAATTCTTTCGCTCAATTATTAGCAAACTTATCTTCTTATATCTAAATGCACTACTTATGAGAGAAGAAATTCTCCCGCTCAACTTGTAGCCGTATTATCTTCTTATATATCTAAAATCACTGCATATCGGAGAGAAAACTTTCCGCTCAATTGTTAGTCAGATGATCATACTAATTTAAAAAGAAATACATATGAGAGATAAAGTTATTCCGCTCAATTGTTAGGAATGTTATCTTCTTATTTTCATATACTTAAACACAGTACATATGAGAGAGGAAATTATCTTGTTCAATTGTGAGCCGACTTATCTTATATGGATATTTAAAAGAATTACGTTTGAGAAAAAAAAAGTTATCCCGGTCAATTGGTAGTAAACTTATTTCTAATCTTCTAATACCTAAAAGCACTACATATGAGAAAGAAAATTATCCCGCTCAATTCTTAGCAAGCTTATGTGGTAATACCTGGAAGCACTACACATGAGAAAAAAAAATATCATGCTCAATTGTTAGAAACTTTATCTTCTTTAACCTAAAATCACTACACATGAGAGAAAAAATAACGATCAATTGTTAGCCGGCTTATCTTGTAACTAAAAACACTAAATATGAGAGACAAAATTCATCCGCTCAATTGTTAGCAGACTTGCCTTATAATAAAAATAACTACATATGAGAGAGAAAGTTTTATCGCTCAATTGTTAGCAAACTTATTTTCTCATACCTAAAAGCACTACATGTGAGAGAAAAACTACCCTGCTCAATTTCCCTGCTCAACTGTTTGCAAGTTTATATTCTAATATCTAGGAGCACTACATATGAAAGAGAGAAATTCTTTCACTAAATTATTAGCAAGATTATCTTCGTATATTTAAAAGGATAAAACCACTACATATGAGAGATAAAATTCTCCCACTCAATTATTAGTCAACTTATCTTATATCTTATACTTAAAAGAACTACATATGAGAGAGAAAGTTCTCCCGTTCAATTGTACTTCATAATAATAATAGGGAAATTGCTCTAAATAGGAGTAAACAACTCTGGGAATTCCAAAATAGGACCACTATGTTATTCTTTCCGAAATAAGAGTTGTTGCTATCATGATTGAAAACTACTGTCATTAATTATAATAAATACTGCCATGTTGAATGCATAGTACTACAACTATTTGGCAGTCATTCTAAAAGATAACAGTAAATAATGTCATCTTAGTCCTATTTCGGGAAGAAAAATATAACAGTCCTATTTTGGAATTTCAGACTCTGTGTAGTCCTATTTTGGGAAATCACACATAATAATACTTAAAAATACTACATATGATAGAGAGAGAATTATGTCGCTCAATTGTCAGCCGACTTCTGTAATACCTAAAAGCAATACATATGAGAGATAAAATTGTTAGCAAGTTTATCTTTTATTCCTAATCCGTAGTATATAATACTTAAAAGCACTACATGTGAGAGAGAAAATTCTTCCGCTCATAAGTGGATCTCTCTCGTTTGTTTGTACAAAATTGAAAGTTTCCAATAGTAATCAAATTCAAGTATATTTATAGTTTTGAATGACATACGTAGTACATGTTACTATCATAGAGATATTATTTCAACGTGTTGATTTTTTATGAAATGTGATTTTTCAAGATTCTCATTTTTTTTTATTGTTAAGAATTCCTTTTTTCAAAAAGTCCCTTTTTATTACCCACTGATCTTTTGTTTGTTTCATGTTCTAATTTTGATACTTAGAGCCAGTTTAGTAACACTGAAATTGGCCAGCTAAATTGTCTTGTCCTTTTGAATTGGTTGAAATTGATTCTTTTGATTTATGGATGAATTTAATTTAAAGTATATTTCACTAATGAAGTAAATAAACAAAATTATATCAAAAGCAGTTAAAAATGATTATGTGAAGTAACTTCAATTTAAAACACACCACAAATGATAAATCTATATTTTCATATTTGCCCTTGTTCTTAAAAATAATGAATAATAAATTGAACTAAATTTTGTATTTTTATTTTATTGGCACTCGATGTGATTATCATTTTCTTTTGCTAATTTTTTTTATTCTCGAGTGACATTATAATATGAAGGAATAAGGTTTGTTACACTGTAACGAAGGGAGTAGTAGTATGAAATTGGTTAAATCTGTTGAAATGGATGAAATCCTGAGAGAAGTGGTTGAATTAGTTGAATCTATTTGTTTATGGATAATTTTAATTTAAAATAATTTTATTAATGAAATCAAGAAAAACATTATATGAAAAGTAGCTAAAATGATCATAACTTCCTTTATTCAGACATCAAAATAGATCATAAATTGAATATAGATAATTTTAAGCATAATTATAGAGATCATTAATAAATTATATTTTTATATATTCAATATTGATCTCATATGAAATATCACAAAAAATTATGAATTTTGATATATTTTTTGTAAAAATTGGAACAAAAATGAAAAAGTTATAATACTTTAAAAAAATTGGGGTTTTTTATAGGTTGGGCCCCACCAACTGCAAATCCTACGGCTGCTCCCCTTCCATTTCAAAATGAGAAAAGGGGCAAATAAGTCTTCCAACTAACCAAAAAAGTGCAAATAAGCCTTTATATAGGAGTGTCTGTCCGACCGTCGTCATTTGGGGAGGTTCAAGGGTAAGTCCGACCGTCGTTATTCAATCAGGCACTCCTATATAAGGGCTCATTTTCACTTTTTTGGTTAGTTCGAGGGCTTATTTTCCCCTTTTCCCTTTCAAAATTGGAGAAGTTCGGTATTTTGGAGTGAAAAAGCCACGTGTCATTGGTATAAAAATGAGTGAATTGAGGAGAGTCTGACACATAGGATTCATTAATGGTAAATTTGTATTTTTATGAGCTATTTCTTTTCTTATATATAAATAGATAATATAAAACAATACTTAAAACGCTACATATGAGAGAATTTTTTCGCTCAATTGTTAGCTGGCTTATCTAATACCTAAAAACACAATATATGAGAGACAATTCTTTAGTTGAATTGTTTATTTGATTATCTTATACCTAAAAGCACTGTTTATGAGAGAGAAAATCTCTCGCCCAACTGTTAGCCGGTTTATCTTATACCTAAAAACACTATATATGATCTTTTTACAGTATGGAAATTGTTTTAAAAAAATGATATGCCCGACCTCTAAAAAATATTATTTTAAGGAAGGTAATGCATATAATTTATATGTGACTTTATTTAGCAAGTTTGAAATTATTTTTTAAACTTTATTTCATAAACACAATACATATGAGACAGAGAATTCCATCTCACTCAGTTGTTATCCGAATTATCTTTTACCTAAAATCCCCCCTCAATTCCGTAAGAACCACATCATTTTTTTCATTAATTGGTAAATCAACTTTGATTCTCTCTCACCCAAAGCTATGATATGAACATGATTAAAAAATCATTTGAAGTCAAGACACTATGTGATACTCTTTCTATCACTATGTACATTATAGAGATCTTTTCAGGAATTATATTTGATCAGTAGAGGATGCTCATAAGTCTGTCTCGTTTGTATGTACCGAATTGCAAGTCCACAATAGTAACCAAATTCAAGTATATTTATAGTTTTGAATTACTCACATGTTACTATCATAAAGTTATTATTTCAACATGTTGATTTTTAATGAAATGTGATCTTTCTAGATTCTCATTTTTTTTACTGTTAAAAAGTCCTTTATTCAAAAAGTCCCTTTTTATTAGCCACCAATATGCTGTTACTTTCATGTTCTAATTTGGATATTTAAAACCAGTTTATTAACAGGGAAATTGACTAAATTGTACGATCCTTTTGAAATTGATGAAATTCTAATAGAAGTAGCTGAATTGATTGAAATTGATTTTTTTATTTATGGTAATTTTAATTATGTGATATTAATGAAGTAAATAAAAACTTACATGGAAAGGAGTAAAAATGGACTCTTTACATTAACTTTAGTTTAAAACAAACCATAAACGATAATTATATATTTTATATTTTCCCCTTTCTTCTTAAAAGTAAAGAATAATAACTTCTGTTGAACTAAATTTTGAAGCTTTATATTATTAGCACTCGATGTGATTATTATTTTTATTTGCTAATTTTTTATTCTCACGTGATATTATAACAGGAAGGAATAAGATTTGTCATAGTTTAATGAAGGGAGCAAAAAAAAATTGAAAATAACATTTGATTTTTATTACTCGTAGGGTTGATAAATTCAAATTACTCATCGTCTTGAATTTAGACCAACTCAAAACAAAATAAAATAGACCAACTCGAAGTTGTTTTTAGAACTTAGTAGATTTTC